AGAGAGAGAGAGAGAGAGAGAGAGAGAGAGAGAGAGAGAGAGTCACAGTATATAGAGTCACAGATGGAACATGGCTTAACTGTATGTCACCATGGAAAATAACTATCATTAAATCGTTAGAATAGTCTATAATCAACAGCTAATGTGATTTTCTCGTTCATGAACAACCTTGAATAGATCAGCCTAAGTAATCATATGAATTCGCATCTGTATGGCTCCTTGTGTCTCCCCCAGCAGAACTTACCAATTCTCCTGAATTCTGAGCAGTTGGGTTAACGTTGTGTGTGGGATTGGCACACATGGTGGTATTATTCGTCTCTTTCGCTAAACCCAAGCTTGATGTGTGGCAGACCTGCTACTCCAGAACCTACAGCAGATCCCCTTCAAACCGAAAGTATTACAATGAGGAACAAAAGAAGTGCGCACTTAAAACGTTTATCGTTGTAAATTGGAGTTAAATTAAAACTGACCCACAAAATAACTATCCAACTGAATATTATTATATAAAAGCTCAAATGTTTCGCCTTACTTATTCAGACAAGTGAGTCATAACTTCCTGTCACCAATGTAGGCTATTTTATCTCAAGTCATATGTTTACCTTTGCGACGTAGAGGAAAGAAAATACGATTAATGAAAGAAACATCCATGTATGCGTTTCTATTAGCCTTAGATATCCATACAGTATTCACAGATGCAACTCGTCAACAAGACGTGACAGCAGCTTTTAAAACAGAATGTTGTGTAACAGGAAAATACGTCTTGAAAGTGTTCTTGAAGAAACGTTCCGTGTGAGCTTCGTTCCTAGTTTTGTTTCTGCAGGAAAAAAAAAAAATCCGTTTTAATATTTACAGTTCTTTTACAATTATTGTATTGAATTTTAAGATGTATTGAATACATCTTAAAATCCAAAAAAGGGACTTTTTATATTTCTACCTTCCTTTTATTCCAGACATAGATTAGTCCTTATGTTTGAGAGCTACAAAAAAACAGGAAAAAGAATAAGAGAAGAATAACGAAAACAGGAATCAAAGAATACTGTGTTTAAAAAAAAGAAAGAAAAAAAAAGACTAAATTGTCTATATTTGGTGTCTTTATATGTGGTTTGAAGGTCTGTACTTATAAGTTAGGGGATTTCAAAGCGCTTTTTTCCATATTCAGTCATTTACCCATTCACTCACACTGATGGTGGCAAGCTACATTTTAGCCACAGCTGCCCTGGGACACACTGGCATAAGTGAGGCTGCTGTACACAGGTGCCACCAGGCGCTCTGACCACTGGCACAGTTACCCTATGTTGGAATTGACAGAGCTCTAACTATGAAGCTGTTTGACACATTAAGACGACACACATAGTTCCTCAATAATGCATAAAAGTAGGAATGTTGCTCATAAGACTACAGATATCCATCTCTGAATCCTGAAGAGGATTCTAAAGTTTTCGTGAAATGCTGCTTGCAGTTTCTTCATTAGAGCGTTAGTTAAAGAGGCGTAGCCAGAAAATATTTATAAGGGTGGCCAAGCAATAACCAATGTGCACTGAGGGGTGGCCGTGTTACGGCTACTCTTGCATCAAAATAGTTTCCCAAAAAATCAAAAATTGCCAGAGTAGTCTTAGGAGGAGGTTTTTCGACTCACAAAACAAAAAGCACTTGTGGGGAATGTTCTTGTTTCAAAAAAGGGGTGTTTTCTTTACTTATAAAAAAATAACAGAAATATTCTCAGAGTTGACTTACAAAAAAATTAAATATAAAGTTAAGTGATGTGTGTGAAAAAACTGTTGCACTCCTCGCT